GATGATGGGCTCGAGTATAGCAGGGATTGTGGGGCTGGTGCGGGATCGGGCAGTGTTTCGTTCTGCTGTGCATGGGGTCGCTATGAGTCGGAAACGACTTGACGGCACTTAACAACAACAACAACAATATGTTCTTCCTTCAATTTGTCTGTTTTTTGCTCTTCTTTTTTCTTCCAAGTGGTCCCCTGAAACTGGAAGACTTTCCCTCCCACGGTGCAGCAATTTTTCTTTTTTTTTTTTTTTTTTGGTGGTTGTTTTTATCACTTAACCATTCCTTTCCCTGACTAATTAGAAAATATGTGATAGTTTTTCCTATTTCTGTTTAATCTAAAGATGAAACTCACTACGTGTTTCCCTACTGTCTTATGAAAGCCCAGTGTTCCTGAGGAGAACCAATTCAGCCATAAATGGATTTCTACTTATGCATGAATTTTTGTTGAGAGACATATCTGTATCTAGATCTAGATCTGTATCTGTATCTGTATCTGTATATATATCTATATCTATCTATGCCACTGGAAAGAAAGTATGACAAAATCCCAGCAAAAAGACTCCAGATGGTGGAATGAATATGCTTTGAAACTTTTGGAATTTCTACTTCCTCACCTAAAAAGCAAGGTGGCATAGTGAGTAAGACATTTGACTGTGAACCAGAAAGTCAGTGCTCCAAACCCACCAGCTGCTCCATGAAAGCAAGATGAAACAATCGACTTCCATAAAGATTTACAGCCTTGGAAACTCAATGGGAGTTGCTATGAGTCATAACTGACTAGATGGCAGTGGGTTAGCTGGTTAACACCTGGAAAAAAAAAAATAGCAATAATGTCTGCTTCATAAAGTTATTTTGAGTATTAGAGACAACACATGTAAAAGTACTCAGGGTGGTGTTAACATATATTAGTAACAATAACAATAAAAACAGTGTAAGAGCTAACATTTATTAAGTACTTACTTTGTGCAAGTACTTAATAATAAAGCATATTTTGAGACCAGAAGAACTAGAGAGTGCCCAGCTACCAATGCCAACCACTTGGGAAAGTATCAAAACTGGAGATCCTGGATAGAGTGACAGGAAAAACATGGAACAAAATCCAAAAACACAATAATGACCAGAATTACTGGTCGGATGGAGTCTGGTGGGACCCCCAATACTATGGGATACACTTTGGGCCTGGAATAAAACTCACTCCCAGGGGCTGGCTTTCAGCCCAATAGTAAACAAGATGTACATGCAGACCACTCAACGCAGGATGACACACCTATGTGTCATACTCTATGGAAATACATCCCTTAGAGCAATTGACCACAGGGCACCAGAGGGGCAACATTCACACAGAGGAAATGCAGGACACACAGGAGTGTATAACTATGAGGGGCTAAAAACAATAATAATAATAATAAAGCACATTAATGAGGATTATGACTAGACTCAGTATGGAGTGTTAAGTGAGAGTGAGTGATTTAGAAAGTTCACCTCAAGTATCCTGCAGAAGGGAGAAAGGTTTCTAGAGAAGGTGATAGCTAACCCAAGATCAGTAGCATAAGAAGGATAAGGTAAATGTAAGGGGAAAAGGTTCCTGGAGAAAGGCATGAGGAGAGGAGAAAATGTATCAGGAAAAGGCAGTAGCACAGGCAATGCCAGAGCACAGGAGCAGAGTAATTTGGAGGAGTGATGAGTAGTAGATTATGCTCAGATAACAGAGCATAAGGTAGGAGAAGCAATACTAGAAGCTGTAGAGTTAATCAGGGACCAGACTGCAAGGGCTTTATTTAATATGCTAAGAAGTTTACAAAATATCCTGAAATCTATGGGGGAGACAATAAAAAATCCTAAACACAAGAGACAATTGATAATTCATCTATGGTCTTTTGTATTTGTGTTTGCATGTGTGTGTGTGTCTGTATGTGTGTGTGTGATAGAGAAAGAAAGGAAGGAAGAGAGAAAAGATAAAGGAGAGAGAGCATGTGCTAGTGTCATCATTACAGAAAGTAAATCTATAAAGGGTAAGGACCATGTCTCAGTTGCTCTGTAGAGACCAGAGTTAGTACAGGCTGGGTAATAATACAGATCCACTTAGGGGTCTTGGATTTAGTATTATTGCTCTCTCCAAGCTCCTTTATGAATAAACTTCTTTAAGAGCTGTGAAGTCTGTGCCAGAATGTTCTAACATATTGAATTCTACAGGCTGTAGGGTAATTAAGTGGTTTTCTCTGTTGTTGGAAATTATGTACAGGATTCTATAATGTCACAATTGTACATTTCAGTGGATACAGAATCAATGAGGTATACTGAATGAACATTCAGAGCACTGTGAAAGAGAAAAAAAGCACTTTATATCCTTCTTCCTTGTGTAGGTTATAATGAATGGAGACAATTCTGCAGCTTACCAAGACTAAAGACTCAAGCTGACTTGAATACTGCCATTACCAATATGGGTGTCATTGAAAAGATAATGAACTTGTATAAGCATCCTGATAATATTGATGTCTGGATGGGTGGCTTAGCTGAAAACTTCCTTCCAAGGGCTCGAACTGGTCCCTTGTTTGCATGTATCATTGGAAAACAAATGAAAGCCCTAAGGGATGGTGACCGGTGGGTATTTGCAACTAGTTTTTTTTTTTTTTTTTTTAATTCTATATAAAGGGCTGTATTTTATGTTAGTTTTATTTGAAGTCAATCAGATCTGATTTCAAATGTTGCCTCCATCATTCAATATTTATGTGACCCTAGGCAAATTATTTCTCTCAGCCATAGCTTTTCCTCAACTGTAAAAGATGATTGTTATGAAAATGAAATACATACAAAGCACATAGCACATTTCAAGCAGTTAAAAATGTTAACTATTACTGATTTTTCAATATCATCTTATCATAGAAATAAGGAGACATAGTGTGAAGAACACATTATATTTCATGATGATCCTGAAACTATATTCCATCTTCACAGGTTCTCAGAAAGCTTTTATTTGTAAGACAACTTCTACTGTAATTGAAAAGGTTGAATCTGAGTTAGGTGTTGAGACAAAGACTGGAGGACCATGCATAAAAGCTTAGAGTGTTTATAAATATGACAGACAAGCTATTTTCCTTTTCAGTCTTCAACTCTCCAACCCAAGCAAAGACTTTGTTTGCAGATAGCAGAAAGCTGAGGTATTCAAATCTCTCACCCTTACCTGGTTTTGCTCCCTTCTCAATGCCAACCAAGAATGTTAAACCTTGTATATAGCCAGAGGAAGGAACCCTAATGGTGCAATGGGTAAAACTTTGGCTGCTAACCAAAAGGTCAGTGGTTTAAACCCACCAGAAGCTACTGGCAATCTGCTCCCAATTACAGCCTAGGTAACTCTATCAGGCTGTTCTACTCTGTCCTATAGAGTCGTTATGAATCACAATTGACTTGACAGAACACAAAAACATAGCCAGAGGGAGTTAGAAAAGCAAGTTCTTTGTTTCCATGTCTAATTCTTTGTTCTCCATATGCCATAGTAGAAAAGTATGATTAGTAATTTGGAAACCACACAGATAAAAATAATAGGGAAATGTTTTTTCAATAATACCTGCACATTTAGTCCTTTTTTGATGTTGTTGTTTTTTTCTTTTTCTTTGGAGTCACTGTTACTAAACCAATTTTTTTTCCAAGAATATTCATATTTCTTCAAGAAAGTACATTAGGCATACTCTAAGGTTCCTTTCTTTTTTTCCTCCCAATTCAACTTTATCATTAATTTCTGAAATGTAGCATCTCAAATAGTCCAGAACATCTGAGGAAATATAACTAGATGCTGTCTTACTAAAAACTGTATTGTTAGCAAACTCCTGAGTTTAATATATGATGGGACATGAGAAGTGACTAATCCAGACAATGATACATTTCTTCAACATATACACTATCATGCATTTATCATCTTTAGTGGTAGTACAACTTGAAACAAGCAAGCAGAAATTGTGAACAAATTCCTGGAGTGATATTATACATATCTCACCTTGATTATTTGTAATTCAACATGTCCTAATACAAAAATGTGGTCAAGTAATTACATATAATGACGGCTCTCTTTTTTTGCATTCTGAGAACAATGTGTACCTCTGTGGGAAGGGAGGGAAACTTTATGTGCTAAAAGAAATAAAATGTTTTATGGTATTCAGGTCAGAAGCTTTGCCAGTGATTTTAATATTTTGAGAGAACAGTAAGATTTTTTTTTCCCTAATATTGTACTTTCTTCTGATTAATTATGACATGGAGGAAAAGACAGAAGATATAATGGCCTCACATAACATTTGTAATTCATTATAAACAGCAGCACTTTCCACAATAACTGAATTTTATTGCCATATTCTTATTTTTAAAATAGCTCTCCACCACCACTCCCCTCTCCCAGGTAAAAACAAGGCAACAAAGTAGATTGGCATAAGCACAATTAATGGGTTGTAAAAACCTTTTTCCATTAAATGTTGTTTTTTCCAGCCAGCCAGTAGGATATGAAATCACCAGAGTACCTCCCCCCTTAGTTCCTTCTTCACTTCTACAGAAGCCTCAACTTGAACTGCCAAGTCCTGACTGTGCCTCTGAGTTACTCATTGCTTTACCACATTGCTGGGCCTATGTCGTGAGTGCCTTCATTCACTGGCTCTGTGGGGAATTCTTGGTACAAAGCAATGCACAAGGTGTACTTAAATAATATGCTAAACAGAAAATTACCCAAGAAGAGTTCTGTACTTAAATATTCTTACACTGCTCTCTTGTTCTGTGGAGGTTTTGGTGGGAAAACAGCCATGTATTTACTGAAGCTCAAAGGCATGAACTGGAAAAGCATTCTTTATCCCGAATAATCTGTGACAACACAGGCCTCAGCAGAGTGCCAATTGATGCCTTTCAAGTTGGAAAATTTCCTCAAGATTTTGAATCATGTGAAAATATACCACATATGAATTTAGAAGCATGGAGAGAAACTTTTCATCAAGGTAAATATAAACCATTTTAAAAATTATATTATAGTACTGAGATATAATCATAGAAACAATAATTTTTCAAAGAAGTTGATTGCTCAAAAGCACTGAGTATTCAATAATGAGCCTAATATCCTCAAGGTTGCTCATTTAAAATGATTAAAATTTAATTTTGTTTCTTGAGCGCCTTCCTCCTCAGGTGAGGAAGGAATTTGAAAATCTGATAAAAATTACTCAGCCTGGGCTCTCTCTGTTAACACTAACCAAAAATAACTCACTGCCGTGGAGTCAGATCCAACTCAGAGCAACTCCTCCTTGGATTTCTGAGGCAGTATCACTACAGAAGTAGTTTGCCCAACCTTCCTTCCGAGGAGTACTGGGGGGTTTGAACAGCCAGCCTTCTGGTTAGCAGTCAAATGCCTTAGGCACTATGCTACCAGTGCTTCTCTCTGCTAACAAGACATTGACTAATAGAACAGTCTATCACTTACTGTCTTATGTTGTACGGAATGGTTAGATCAGGGTTTCTCAACCTTAGCATTATTGACATGTTGTACCAGATAGCTCTTTGTTGTTGAAGTCTGTGCTTGCATTGCAGGATGTTTAGCAGCATCTTTGTCTTTAATCCACAAGATTTCAGCAGCACTTCACCAAGTTTTGAAAGCAAAAATATGTCACAATACTGCCAAATGTCCCCAACAGAACAAAATTGCCCCTGTTTGAGAACAAGTAGTGAGAATAAAGAGACTAACACTTGGCTATATAGAAAAGAAGGCTTCTACGCATACATACAATCTTCTGGAAACATGAAGATTATATTTAATTTAATTTAGCAAAGAAAAGTTTTCTATTTTAATACTACACTCACCAAAACTAATCTTCAAATAAATACAATAGAGTCAAGATTTAAAAACAAACCTTCTGGCTTCAGTTTCTGTACTATGTATGCCCACAGTACAGATCAATTTGAATCTTACAAGTATCAATAATACGCAACAGGAAATACTCACCTTATTCATCTTTTATTCTTTATGACATCAATTCTAGCTCAAAGCAGGAGTTTAAGAATTTTATTGAATCCCTTTTATGTGAGAGCCATTTTCCAGGTGCTGGGAATATATCTGCACTTGCGCGTGCACACACACACACACACACACTCATTGGCCTTTGTAGTCCTTACATTGCAGACAAGGAAGATAGACAATGAACAAATATATACACACACACACACACAGTATGTCATGCCATAAGTACTGTGGATAAAAATGAAGTGTAAGAGAGTAACTACAATTTCACCCATGGGAGCAAGGGAAGGCCACACTGTGAATGTAAAATAAGAGTTCCATTCTAAGGGAAGAGAAAGTACAGAATCCTGAGACACAATAATGCCTGGGGTGTTTGAGAAACCACAAGAAGAGGAGTTGGGTGAAGTGAAGTGAGTAGGGAATGAGAAGGAAGCAAAGAGATTAGAGAGCTAACAGGGACAGATTGTGTAAGGCCTTATGGCTCTTTAAAAACTTTGTCTCTTATTCTGAGCAGGATACAAAATGTTGGATGGTTTTGCTTAGAAGGTAAACATAATCTGATGTGTATTTTAAGAGGACCACCCTGGCTACTTGTTAAGAATACACTAGGTGTTAGGAGCAGCAAATGCAAAAGCAGAAAGAACAGTTGAGAGATATTACATTATTCCATAGAAGAGATGATGATGGCTTGGACCACAGACGATAGCAACAGAAGTAGAGAAAAGTGGCCAAATTGAGGACATATTTTGAAGATAGATCCAACATGATTTCCTAACTGATTAAACACATATGTGACTGAAAGTGAGGAGTCATGGGAAACTCTCAGTTTTCTCCGGAAGCAATTGGAAAACAAAGGATTTTTGATTATTGAAATAGGTACAGTTTTGAATAAAGCAAATGTGAGACAGAAGATTAGTGTTTGTATTATGTATTTTTTAAGTTTGAGATACCTATTAGGCAATTAAGTGGAGATGGGTACAAGGCAGGCGAATATAGAACAGTCAAATTCAAGCAAAAGGTATGGATAAAATACATCAATTGGGATTTGTCTGTAAATGCCGTTGGTAAAGATGGTATTTAATGCCAAGAAACTGGAAGAAACCATCTAGAGAGTAAATGCATAGGGAAAGGAGAAGAAGTGTGAAGACTAAAACCAGAGATCAGAGATGCACTCGGATTTTGAAGATAGGAAGATAAAGAACAAGTAAAATCACTGAGAAGGACCTACTTGTAAGATGGAAGGAAACCAGCAGCTTGTATTTTCTAGGAGAGCTAACTGGAGCCGGTATTTTAAGAAGGATGGACTAGCCAATGATGTAAAATGCTTCTGGTTATTAAAATAGAATTTTTTTAAAAAATTTGTTATTGAGTTGGCTCAGACTTATGGTGACTCCAAGTGTATCAAAGTAGAACTGAGCTCTATTAAGACTTGACAAAAAGATCACCAGACCTGTCTTCTGAGGCACTCTGAGTAGTCTTGAACCTCCAATCTTTAGGTTAACAGCCAAGCAGGTTAAGCATTTGTGCCCACAATATCCTAAAATAAGATAAGAACTAAAAATTCTCCATTACATTTAGCAACAAGGAAACCATCGTTGACCTTAATATAAACCATTTTCTTGGACTGGGGCATGACAGCCTTATTGGAGCTGATTTACAATAGAGTAGGTGGAGCAGTGTTAGAGGCAAGTGTTGCTGCAGGAGCACCTAGGTGGTACTGGTAAGGAGAATTAATTAAAAGAGGAGGAATTTTGTTTCGTATGCTGGAGAGAATGAACCAGTAGAGGAGAAAATTTGCTGAAGTGATATCCTTGGAAGCAGAGGAGGGATCGGATATAGTCCTAAGCAGAGTGGATGAACAAATCAATCAATGAATATATCTCACTTTATTTTGACATTTCAACATTGTATAGATGACAAGTGTGCTTTCCCAAAAAAAGTGGATAATGGGGACTTTGTGCAGTGTGATGAATCTGGAAAACGTGCCCTGGTGTATTCCTGTCATCATGGATATAAGCTTCAAGGGCAAGAACAAATCACTTGCACAGACAAAGGATGGGATTTCCAGCCACCTATTTGTAAAGGTCAGTCACTAACAAAGCATGTATTTTTTTTTTTTTTTTAATTACTTATCAACATTAAAAGAAGCTCTGGTAGCATAGTGCCTAAGGCACATGACTGCTAACCAGAAGGCTGGTGGTTCAAATCCACCAGCCAATCTACTTCTGCAGTGATATCACCTTGGAACCCAAGAAGGGGTGGCTACAAGTCAGGTCCAACTCGACGGCACATAACAACAGCAACAACATCAAAATTAAATCTGCATTTTACAAATACAAATTAAGAACAAATGTCATTGAATATCTACTCATTCACCAAAAAGCTTCTGAACATAATTATATCCCCAGGATCAGTTTTGGCATGAAAATAAATTATTCCCTCATTAGTTAACTATATCCCAAAACTGACATCTTTCTAGGTAATAAAACATGATTGAAGCATCAAGGCAGTCATCATCAAACATGACTGACAGGCAAAGTAACATAGACAAGAAAGGAAAACACAAATCAGGAACATCTAGAGAATATTTATAGTAAAGACATAGAGCTAATTTCTTAGATGAAACAAAACATAAAAATATTTTCCACCCTATATTAGTTTCCTAGGGAAGCCATAACAAACTTCCATAAACTGAGTGGTGGCTTAGAACGACAGAAATATATTGTCACAGAGTTCTGGAGCTAGGAGTCCAAACACAGGTTGTCAGCAGCACCATGTGATCTCCAAAGGTTTTGAGGATGATTCTTTCTAGTCTCTCTCAGCACCAAGGATTCCTTGACCTGCAGATGCATCTTCTGTTTTCTCTCTCTCTCTCTCTCTGTCTCTCTCTCTCTCTCTCTCTCTCGTGTGTGTGTGTGCGTGTGTGTTCTCCTCTTTTACAAAGAGTCACTCAGATTAGATGAGAACCCATCCTACTCCAATATGACTTCTTGTTATCTTAACTCATAACATATTCAAAGACCCTATTTCCAAACAAGGTCACATTCACAGGCTCCAGAGGTTAGGACTTCAACATACCTTTAGAGGACACAATGCAATCCTTAACACATTCTAAGAACCTATAGATTAAGATCCCCCAACACACAACTGTTTGTGGTTAATTTATTGTTAAACCCATGTTTTCATCCTCCTGAGCACACAGCTGGACTGTATTTCCAATCTTTATTATACTTAGGTGTGGATATGTGCAGCACTCCAGCCAATAAAGTGAAAGCGGAAGTGGTGGAGGTGCTACACAGTGCTATTAGAAACTCCCATGAGCCTTCATCTACTCTCATTTCCTGTTTAACTGGTGGTAAAGGTCATGATAGACAGCCAGAGCTGCTTGGGAAGCCACACATTGAAGATGGTAGAACCACCAGATGGAAAGAGCTTGAGTCCTTGAGTCATTACTGCAGGAGAGCCAGCAGACCAGCCACATTCCCACTAGGTTCTTTTTCTGAGACAGCATTAAGCCTCTAAACTTTCAGGATATTATTTTGTGTTCCAACATTGTTGCCTAACTAATCCAGATGTGTACTCCATAAAAAACTTAAAATTCATGTAATTTGCTCAAGCAGTGAAGAAATTGCTATGGAAACATAAATACTTACGCTAAAACCAAAATCCAAACCAAACTCATGGCCATCAAATCCATTCCAACTCATAGCAACCCCCACTGGGTTTCCAAAGCCGTAAATCTTTACGGAAGTATATAGCCTCATCTTCCTTCCATGGAGTAGCTGGTGGGTTTGAACTGCCAAACTTCTCCCCAGAAGTCAAATGAATGCCTTAGGTACTGCACCACTAGAGCTCCTTAGGCAATGATAAAATATTCATTTAAAATCTCACTTTCAATAACTTAAAAGGCACGCCAATTGCCAACCAACATAGTATTTCTAGAGGAAGAGTTTGGAATGAGAAATATGTTGTAGCGTGTGCTACTTGTTATGAGCCACATTTAGTAAGGTATTAGAAGAAAGAGATAAACTCATGAAAGAGTTTAGCTAATTGCAAACAGAAATGAAAAAAAAAAAAAAAAAGTAGAGGAAGATCAACATTTTTTGTCCTTGAATTTTTTGTCCAAGAGCCAAATTCTTCTGGACTCCAAACGGTAACAGATGAGACTGAGCACCAAAAATCTATTAGGACTCAATCCTATGACAACTACCAGATGAAAGTGTGAGCTATCTCCCCACCAAAATAAATGGTCTCAGATACAATCCAGGCAAAAATCAGTTGCCATACCTTCAATTCCAACTCATTGCCACCTCATGTGTGTCAGAGTAAAACTGTCCTCTAAAGGTTCTTAATGGTTTTTATTTTTATAATTATTATAATAATTTATAATCACAAGGTGCTTCTGGGTGGGTGCAAACCTTTCAGTTAGCAGCCAGACATTAACCTTTTGGCCCAGTCAAGGAATTATTTAAGTTAAGCTGCTTTTAAGTTAAGATAGATGTGATGAGAAAGCAAAGAATTAAAGCTGGTTTGCTTGGGAATGATATCTAGGATATACCTTTGAGAATTGTTAATGGCACAGGGAACCCATTGGAAACGAATAGATCAGAAGCCTATTAGATACATGAAGGTATATGTTGTCAAAAACCACAAGCCTGGACAGGAAAAGTTTTTGTCTAAACTGCTAAAGCAATCGTCAGACTCCAAAATATGCACCATTAGGAAGCGGGCTATGAAAGCACAAAGGGACATAGACCCCAATATCTATTATCAATTTGTTATGAATTATACTACACAAGGAAAAGTAACCCAGTGGTTTAAGACAATGATATAGAGAACAATGGCCAAGGACATTCTTCCAAGACAGCACAATCAGAGATTCCCTTTCCAGAAAGCTTACTTTACAGGAACCCAACTGTTCCACAAATTGTGACATCTGTATGCATTTGTTCTTACTGTTAACTACCTATTTTATTACCCTTGATTGCTATGTTCAGTAGCTAATCTTTTCATGGTAAATAAATAGATAAATAAACAAACAACAAATCTGGAAACTTTTACTGTTGTTTTTGCTCAAAGGTTGGGCAAAATTGAAATAAATGCCCACTTTACCTAAGATTCTTTGTTTTCAGTGTTGGCAACACAATCAAGAAACATGGTAATTGCTGCAGGTTTTAGCACATTGCTTGTTTCATGTTTAATATGCCTTCATATGATGCACACTTCACTTGTACACCTTATGTATTGGGTTTTGTTTTAGGTATTTATGAGGCAACCAAATGTTCTTTTCACAGGGATCTCTGAGGTACAAATGAAAAAGCTCAGAAGCATAGAAATACAGGAAAATTCCATGCCTCCTCCACTCCATCTGCACTGACCTATTTGTCATTCTGTGACTTTCAAACCTATATAACATTGCTTATACTATGTCCGACTCGATGGCACATAACAACAACAACAACATACTATTTCCGAAATCTGGAATGCCTTTCCTGCCTCTTCAAGAAAATTTAAGAATTCTATCAAAATTAATTTTTTATTTCAGAAGATTTTCTACAACCCACCAATCTGACCCCCACTGCATGCAGTCTTTTTGGTCTTCCATACTTTTTCATAGCAACAATTAACCACTTCCTAAAGTGGGTAGGCTTTGACTTCTTCCTTCGATACCATTGATTTTTGATCAATATGCCACCTCCTGAAATGGATGATCATCAACCAATTCTTTTTGGTACAGTGACTCTGTATATTCCTTCCATCTTCTTTTGATATTTCCTGTATCATTTAATATTTTGCCCATAGACTCTTTCAATATTGCAACTCAAGGCTTGAATTTTATCTTCAGTTCTTTCAACTTGAGATATGCTGAGTGTGTTCTTCCCTTTTGGTTTTCTAACTCCAGATCTTTGCACATTTCATTAAAATAATTGACTTTGTAGGACGGGACCCTTCCTTGGAGAAGGATATCATGCTTGGTAAAATGGAGGGTCAACCTAAAAGAGGAGGGCCCTCAATGAGATGGATTGACACAGAGGCTGTGATGATGGGCTTAGGTATAGCAAGGATTTTGAGACTGGCACAGGACTGGGCAATGTTTCATTCTGTTGTACATAGGGTTGCTATAAGTCAGAGCTGACTCGATGGCACCTCACAACAACAAAAGTGGGTATGATAGATTGTTTGACACAAGGCCTAGCACATACAATTAACAATGGATATTACTAGTCCATTCTCTGAACCAGACTGAATGTTCCATGGGGGCTAAGACCATTCCACTGTGTGTCCCACAGCTATGAGAACAACTCCTGAAATGCAGCAAGTGTTCACACTGTACTCACAGATCAACAGTAGCAGCATCACCTTGGAGCTTGCAGGCTCTCAGGCTCACCCCCAAAACCACTCAAAATTTGGATTTTGAGACCATGGGATGATTTTGTGTGTTGTTAAAATTTGAGAAACCCTGTTGATTATTAACCCTAAGTACCTACTTCTCTGTTTCCACTGATGTGACTCAGACCTTTTTTCTTCTTTTTTCTGGACAATTTTAGTAGCTCCTTAATCTGTCTCTCAGTCTCCACTTGCTCTTCTACAAATGTATCCTCCATGTGACTCCTACCAAGCTCTAATCTGATCATGCTACTTCATACCAAAAATTCTGCAGCAGCTATTCATTTCCCTTGTTGTTACTGTTAGATGACATCAAATCAGCTCCAGCTTATAGCGATCTGATATACAGCAGAAGGAAACGCTGCCCGATTCTACCATCTTCACAGCCCTTGCTGTGCTTGAGGCCATTGTTGCAGCCACTGTGTCAATCCATCTTATTGAGAGTCTTGGTCTTCTCTCTGACCTTCTACTTTATCAAATATGATATCTTTCTTCAAGGAGTAGTCTCTCCTGACAACATGACCAAAGTAGGTGAGAAGAAATCTGGCCATTCTCTCTTCTAAGGAGCATTCTGGGTATACTTTTTCCAGGAAGGATCTGTTTGTTCTTCTGGTATTTCATGGTATTTTCACTGTCCTTTGCCAAGACCACAATTAAAAAACATCAATTCCTCTTCTGCCTTCCTTATTCATTGTCC